TCAGATGTCCTAGAGCTTCATAAACCAAGAGTTTGCTAAGAATGAAACCAGCTGAACCTGGTTTTGAGGAGAGAAGTTGTAGTGACAATCGGTAACACCACGCAGCCTCAGGAGATGAGGGATTACCGTGTGTGCTGGGAGAAGTCACACCTCTTGGCAGTACAGCCATTGCAAAGAGAACTAAGAGGATACAATTAATTACTCTCTAACCTTTTCTTTCTTCTTCTTTCTTCCTGGCAGCTTCTTCCCTTTGCTTCCGAATGATGGCTAGTCGGGCGAGATCGGCCTTCGCTTGCTCCGTTTTGCCAGCTAGGTGCATTTTCATGTATCTTTCTTTTGCTTTTTGTTTCTCTATTTCCTCTCTGTTTGAAAGAAACACCCGAGTCATCAGAGCATCCACAGAAACACACAGGGACAGGCAGAGCGGGGGAGGCTTCCTGACTGGGACAGAGATGGGCTGCTCAAAGCCTGGCGGGGCCTGTCACCAGTTTCCAAGCACACGTTGTATCTGCCACAGGGTTTGAACAGGGATGATGAGCTTCTTTCTACCTTCCTTCAGCTAAATAAGGACATGGACACACAATGAGGTCAATGAATCAGCCCCAGACTGCACAGCACCGTGATAGGTTTTCCTCAGCCTGACCCTCACAAGGGTGTACTTCTGCTGAAGCAATCTACCCCAAATCAGCAAGCTTCAAATCTTTCACTCTGCAACTCCCTGTTGCTAAATGAAACCAGAAGATTAAACTTTGGTTCTCATCTTATTCACCTGCTCAGATAAAAACTTCACAGTGACCCCTGGAATCTGGGAAGCAGCTACCGGTCATGAGGGCACCTTCTGCAGCAAGATTAAAGTGGACCCCAAGGTGACCTCTGGTTAATGGATTTCTGTTAGGTCTGATTTTTGGTATAAAACTTCAGGAAAGGAACGTTCTACATCCGCTTCACAGCAGCAAACTTCACTCTCTTGTCTACCTGGCCCAGCTGCCTGGCTCCAGGATGGCCACAGCTACTGCCAGAGGACACAGGATGGCCACAGCTACTGCCAGAGGACACAGTATGGCCACAGCTACTGCCAGAGGACACAGGATGGCCACAGCTACTGCCAGAGGACACAGGATGGCCACAGCTACTGCCAGAGGACACAGGATGGCCACAGCTACTGCCAGAGGACAGACAACATCTATAAAATTTGTAAGAAAAGACATTTTGAAGCACAGCGAGTCCTGCCTGACAGTTTGCTGCTGTTCAGGGTCCACTTTAGAGAGCAACACACTGAAAGGGCTTCCCTGAAACACCAACACATGCACAGCAGGGAAACATCTCCCCACATTTTAGCCTGGAGAAAAGGAGGCTGAGGGGAGACCTTCTGGCTCTGTCCAACTCCCTGAAAGGAGGGTGGAGAGAGGTGGGGGTGGGTCTGTTCAACCAAGGAACAAGGGACAGGACAAGAGGAAATGGCCTCAAGTTGTGCCCAGGGCAGTTGAGATGGGATGTGAGGAAGAATTTCTTTGCTGAAAGGGTTCTGAGGCATTGGAAGGGGTTGCCCAGGGCAGTGGTGGAGTCCCCATCCCTGGAGGGATTGAAGAGTCGTGTAGACACAGTGCTGAGGGACATGGGTTAGTCAGGGACTTGTCAGTGTTGGGTTCATGGTTGGACACGATGAGCTTAAAGGGCTTTTCCAATCCAGGCCATTCTGTGACTCTGATTCTGTGATGAAGCTGCTGCCACAAGCGAGGCTGGAATTCTGGGAATGTGTTAGCAGGAAAGACTCACCGCTCTCGTCGTGAGAGTTCCTTAGGTCCATCCAGGTCCAGCTGAGTGACCTTTTTGGTTGTCTGAATGACACGATTGGGATTCTCTATGTCTATCAACCCTTCCACTCCTTTGCGCTTTTGCTGCGGTTCAAGAACAAGAGGAAGGTGAAGAAGCTCCCTCGTACCCAACGCTGTGTTGTATCAGAGCTCAAAGACACTACAACACACCCCAAAATTCAACATGTTTTCACTACCAGACAGCAAAACCATTTATGCACCAAGATTTATACAACCAGGCATCTTCAGCCTTTTCTGAAATCTTCTTGCCTTTGCATTTCACTTACAAAAATACACAAGTTTTCATTCCAAAGACTAAATGCAACCAAATAAGGGGGTTTTTTTGGCTTCTAAAATGAGTCCTTCCATAAAAAAATGACTCTAGGTAGCTCTCAAAGAGAACTGGGAGTCAAGAGCATGTGTCTCTCCTGCCTCAAGAATCTGGGTGGTGCAAATGCATTAAGTGTACCTGATAATCCTCATCATCTTCATCGCTCTCATCTGAATCTAAAGACTTCTTCTCCTTTTTGGGGTCTCCTGCTGCTCCTTCACCTCCTTCTTCTTGCTCCTCTTCTTCCTATAAAATCACAAGAAATTAAGAGAAAATAATGTATTTATTTGGGATAAAAATCCCAAATCTAACAGGGACTCTTAAATGAGATCATTTTGGAGGGATGAGAGGGTGTGACAGGGTTCCTGACGTGGCCCCTGTGACACCAAAGGTGCCTGGCTGTTACAAACAAGAGTTCATTCTCAACACATCAGTGTGCATCACCTGCCCCAGCAGATCACCTCGAAACAACTCTGCTGTTCTCTCTGTCTAACAAACCAGGAAAATTATTGTCAAAGACAGAAATGGCACTTTACTTTCCCCAAATGAAAGATCTGCAGGAGACATTTTGACCTGGGGTTTCCAGTGCACAATATCTCAGAGACTGGAAACCACAGAGATGTTGTGTAGAGCTGGATCCCATCCTAGATCTAGATAAAAAAACAAACTAGAGAAGAGCAAATTGACAACCATCAAGCAAAACATCATGACTGAAGAAATGACAGCCTTTTTTTAGCACAGCTTTTACCAGACAGAGGTCCAGGAATTAATTTGTAGATCATCAGAAGATTAGGAGAAGCAACATGGGTGTGAACAGCTTGATTTACCGTTGACAAAATCCCTCACCGGAGCAACTGGCAAAGTGGTCAGTAAGAGGAGTAATTTTAATTGTTTTTTTAAGCTTTTCCTAACAAAATAGCACTAGATGCAATCATGACTATGTGGTCTGGACTGTCACAAAAGAAAAAGAAGAAATCCTTCCCAAAGAGCAGTTCTCTGGTTTATTTTGAAACAAGACAGACATTTTAAGTGGAGTCCTGCTGGTTCTGTTCCATTCCCAATTGATATTTTTATTAACAACTGGGAAGTAGAGAACACTCACAAAGTTTGTGAATGACATTGCACTGGCAGGAGTTGGAATTATTTTGGGAAAACAGGATCAGACCTATAAGTGGTTTCAAGAATTTGGAAAGATGGCGTGAAACCAAGAAGGTGGAATCAGAAAACAAACCAAGAGGAGTTATACTTCAGAAGAAGAAATCCAACACAAAATAGGAATATGTGGCTAAGCATCTTGAGTTACAGCTGGTCAGAACATTAAAAAGGAGTCACCAAAATGGCTCAAAACTGCTTGAAAAGAGTAATCTTCTTCTGGGAGGTATTCATCAGTATTTCCTCCACGGGGTATAATTATCCTACTGCAGTCAGCGCTGCCAGGCTTCAGCTGGGCTGGTGTATTTGGGCTTAGGCAGCACTTTCAGCAAGTCACAGAAAAATAACAGTCAGTGCCATCAGAGCTGGGATAATCTGGGACTGCAAGACAGCAAGTACTGCAAAAAGGAGCCTCTCACAGTCAGGGAGCTGGGGGGAAAGGGGGGGAGGCTGTTAAAATCCTATGTCAGGGCATAGAAATACGCACAGAAAAGGACTCACACCAAATTCTCTCCCCCTACAAGTCAGAGGCAAACAAGAAAATCACGGGTACAGGAAGAAGTCAAAGGAGTTTGGTTGTCTGAGACTAGAATAGAAAGAAGGCAAATAAAATAATTTCAATATACAATAAGATCATAGAATCATGGAATGGTTTGGGTTGGAAGGGACCTTAAAGCTCATCCAGTCCCAACCCCCCTGCCAGCAGCAGGGACACCTTCCACTAGACCAGGTTGCTCAAAGCCTCATCCAACCTGGCCTTCAACACTTCCAGGGAGGAGCAGCCACAGCTTCTCTGGGCAACCTGTTCCAGTGTCTGACCACCCTCACAGTGAAGAACTTCTTCCTAATATCTCATCTAAACCTCCCCTCTTTCAGCTTAAACCCATTTCCCCTTGTTTTGTCATTAACTGCCCTTATGAAAAGTCCTTCCCCAGCTTTCTGGTAGCCCCTTCAGGTACTGGGAGGCCGCTATAAGATCTCCCCGGAGCCTTCTCTTCTCCAGGCTGAACAGCCCCAACTCTCTCAGCCTGTCTTCATAGGAGAGGTGCTCCAGCCCTCATGTTGTGATCGCTGACAGAATGATCTGCAACACTTGGCTCAGCTGCTGTCTCTCATGAACTGGGGGTGAAGCACGCTGCACATGGGGCAGGAAGCACACAAGGGAGGCAAACACATACCCTGGCCTTTTGTTTTTCTGCTTGGAGCTGGGCATCGATCTCTTCGGGACTCGTGTACTGTCTTGCTCGGCCTTTGTGGCCTCCTTTTCTACCTGTATAAAAAATAAATCAAATTAATAAATGGTGTAGTGATAGGTTTCCAGAAAGATCTACTCCTCCTGCAGCACTCTCTCTGGATTTTCCATGCAGACAGGACAAACCAAAATAGCTCCTCTGATAGAATCTAGACAACAATGAGAAAAGGACACACTGAACTTGCCAGTCTCAGTGAAACACTCCAAGAATTTTGGGTAAATTACACAGTGAATTGGGATTATTGATCCATAGAAAGATACTCAGAGAATCAGTTCCTTCTCTCCAGTTGAGCTGGTTTTGGAGACACCAGCACAGCCCATCAGCTACGTGGTGTTTTCCAAACCAAGTGCAGGTTTGTCCAACAGAGAGGGAGCCAGGAAGGTGCTGCCCAACTCTCCTTAACCCCTCCCCTACACTAGGGCTGTGCCAAGAGAAAATAGGAAGCTAGCTGGACAAAAGCTTTGGGAATGATAATGAGAGCTGGAGAACGAGGAGCCTCCATGATTTAGTGCTTTATAAGGAAAAATTAAAACCAGGTCTAGGAACCAGGATGAGGAGTCAGCTCAGCTGCACTGCCTGGCTAAGGTCTGCTCTCAAGTTCAAAATCCTGCTGTTTAATGAGTTGCTGAAGCCATCCATGCTTCCTGCAAGTGGCTGCTTTGTTTGTGTTCCCACAGCTCAGAGAACTGCTGGAAGCAGCTGAGGAGTCAGTCTCCAGCCTTGAGCTCAGGGTAGAGCTGGCACCTGAGACTGGCAGAACCCACACAGCTCAGGAAAGGAGCTTGGCTGCTCAGGGAGCTGCTTGAGTCTGGGGGAAGGAGGGGGAAATCCTCCTGCTCCCTCTCACTCCCCTCCTTGGAAGCCTGAGAGTGGTGGGGAGGGCTGAGGGGATTGTCCCTCCTTCCCCAGCAGAGATGTGTCACCTCTGTGCCACAGCTGTGCCCGGCTGCAGGGGGACTCGGCGGGACAGGGAGCAGCAGTGGCACCGCGGGCGTTAGAAATTCAGCGTCTGCTGATCAGTCCCTTGGCTCAGCAGAGCCTCTCACAGAGTCAGCTCAGTACCAACTGAGAGCAAAGCACCTCAAAAACCCACCGAGAAACCTCACAGAGACCCTGAGACGTTCACAGAGACCCTGGAGATGTCTACAGAGACCCCCTTGAGATGTCTACAGAGACCCCCAAGATGTTTACAGACCCCCCCCCCAGGATGTTTACAGAGACCCTGAAGATGTTTACAGAGACCCCCTGAGATGTTTACAGAGGCCCCCCCCGAGATGGCTACAGAGATCCCCAAGATGTCTACAGAGACCCCGAGATGTTTACAGAGGCCCCCTGAGATGATGTTCACAGAGACCCCCCCCCAAGATGTTTTTCTCACACGAAGTGGGGAAGAGCAGAGACCAGATTCTTCTCTCTGAACTCAGCTGTGGAAGCTCCTGGGCACTCAAACCACCAGCAGAACCCAAAGCTTTGCTGCACCCAGAGACGGGTGTTTGCTGTTTGTCTGCTCCCAACCATCCCACAGGGCAACACTGACACCCTCTGGGGACAGACCTGCCACAGAGCCCTCGCTCCAGCCCAGGGGACGTTCGTTACCTCAGCGCCCAGCACACGACAGGGCTCAGGATGGAATAACAGAACCAGCCCCGACAGACACACCAGGAAACCCAGATAACCAGAGCTCAACTGGCACCAGGAACCCCAGATAACCCAGAGCAACGCTGGGCTGCCAGCTCAACTGGCACCAGGCAGGTTCTGCTCCAGCTGGGCTCAAACTGAAGAACACAAAAGCTTTGTCACTGCAAATAATCAGCAGCAATCAGTGTAAGGGGGAAGCAGTGCAGGAGAAATCACCCCACATTAAATGATTCACTCTGCAATTTGCTTCTTTTTAGGCCATCTCGTGGATTTTTGAGCCTGCACAGCGAGCAGCAAAGCCCCTTTGAGGGGGGACAGCAGTGCCACTGGCTCAGCAGCTGGAGGGACTGTGGGAGCAGGGCAGGGATGGGGCTCTGCTCTGCTCTGCTCTTCACAGGGAGATCAAACCACGGGGCAGAGGGTCCCACACCTGCCCACCACTGACCCACCACATAGTGCTGTGCAGCTCACTGCAGCTCTGTGCCTCAGTTTCCCCATCTGGAAAATGGAGATATAATGATTCTCATCCTGCTCTGGGAAGCACTTTGGAATGATAATCACCTGTGGATTTCACCTGCAGTGAAGACCCCTGTGCCTAAGGCAGGCACGTGTTCAAGTGCATTTGTCTTCCAAGACAGACAAATCAAGGAATTTCAATCAGAGAATGAAAGAATATGGAAGGAATCACTTATTCTTTCTGAATATATAATATATATATAACACCTTCTTCAAGGTGTTCAAAATAAAACCAAAACCATCAGAAAGAATCCTGTAACAAAATTTATTAACAGCTGCTTAAAAATCTCTGTTTTATATTAAACAGTGAGCACAAAATTCCACTCCACAGTAACTCCACTGACCTGGGGGGGGGTGGGCAAAGATCCCTCTTTTCCCAAGAAGTAAAAAGTTGGAAACAAACATTTAGAACTGTACAATGAAATCCAGAGCAGGAAACCCTCAGTACTGAGGCACTGAAAAAGGACTTTTCCTAAGGGCAGTTAATGACAGAACAAGGGGAAATGGGTTTAAACTGGAAGAGGGGAGGTTTAGATGAGATATTAGGAAGAAGTTCTTCACTGTGAGGGTGGTGAGACAGTGTCCCAGGTTGCCCAGGGAAGTTGTGGCTGCTCCTCCCTGGAAGTGTTCTCGGCCAGGTTGGATGAGGCTTTGAGCAACCTGGTCTAGTGGAAGGTGTCCCTGCTGATGGCAGGGGGGTTGGGACTGGATGAGCTTTAAGGTTCCTTCCAACCCAAACCAGACTATGGTTCTATGAAATGGGTTCTGACCCACCACAGTTCTTCACCTGCACAAAAACCATGTGAAAGCTCCAGCCCTTTCGACTGGCAGCGTAAAAATTGACATGAAATGAAGTGGTGAAAGAAAATCTAAATAGGGAAGGAGATTTGGTAGGAAAGGTTGAGAAATGCTGATGAAAGGAATTGGAGCAAACTCTAAAGATGAGTGTCAGGGCTGGTTTATATTAATGCCTGTGACTGGGGTTCCACCGACGCTCAGACAAGAGCCAATTATGCAGATGGTGCATCTGGAGAAGGTTCTGGGTGGATGCAGCTCAGCCCTGACAGCCTGTCA